ATCTGTCCCTAAGCTATGACTTGTGCCTCCCTGTTCCCCGTTCAGCCCCAACCATCGACCCTGGGAAACACACACACACCACGCACACACACACACACACGCACGCACACACACACACACACACACACACACACACACACACACACACACACACACACACACACACACACACACACACACACACACACACACACACACACACACACACACACACACACACACACACACACACACACACACACACACACACACACACACACACACGCTCAAAGCTTTCCCTCATATCCGTCCGTTCGATAGCACAGTGGAAAAACATCCACTTCCTCTCAGGTACCCCAGAGTGTCTGTCTACTGGTCTTCCCTGTGGCTAAAAGTCCAACTACATCATTCACCTGTGACTCGGAGACACGCTTCAAACTGTTCTCCAACTCCACGCTTTAATAATGTCATATTGTGAAGAAAATATTTCCAGATGTGCTGAGGCAAAGCAATCTGTTTGCTTTTGTGCAGCGCGAGGCTATCAGGTACAGGAAGACCAAGGTTTTAACGCCTACAGAGTGTGCAGACAATCTGTATTTTAGAGGTGGAACAGTTCAATGTCTTGATTTTCTGTTATGAGTCCCAGGCTTGAGAAGCAAAGCCATTGTCAGTGTTTCCCAGCCTTTCAGTTAGATGTTTTCTTCTCATGTTGAAAATGTGTACAGATTTGGGAAAAATACTGCTCAATTCATTAGTAAGGCCTGATCCATCTGTGATGAAGACCATGAAAAACTCACAGGTATCCAAATGAAAGCTTTGATCAATTATTGATTTAACTTATATCTTCTAATTCAAGAGTAATTATGTAATTAAAAGCTTGCTGACATCTACATTTTAACATGACCAGTAATCCAGATCATAAATGGACATACTATAGTTGTTTATTTTTCTAATCTTGACATAAATACAATTTCTACATTTGGCCAGTTATCCAAACAACACCAACAGTGTTAAAAGCAGTGGCAGATAGGATTTCCTTTTAGATGGAAGATGTTGTAATTGAATGACAATGAAGGGTAGATATTGATGAGTAAAGTGATGCACATTTCTGCTTTGAACAAGTTGTTTTGATCAAAAATTATATTTCATTAATTATATATATATATGTATCCATAATATAAATGAAAAAAGGTAGAAGTTATTTAAATATCCAAGTACTCCAAAGGTTCTTTAGTAAGTATTCACAGCTTCAACAAAAAGCCTACATTATATAAAAGGGATAAGAACAGCAAATTCACTTTAAGATATATTTAATAAAATAGGAAAAAGAGGGGTTTATAATTAATTTTTACTTGAGTGGTTAATGTGTGCTCTTGTTGTGTGCATGTCTGTGAATGGGCAAACATGCAGCAGCGTGTCATGTCATGTCGCTATACCTTATTAGAGGGACTGTAATGAGGGGGCAGCGTGGTCAATGTGCACCTCTGTGCGTGAGTCCATGGAAGCCTGTGAGGGTCAAGGGATTACAAACATGTCTTGTCAAATTAGTCTGCTGTGGCTGAGTGCTGTGACTGAGTTAGGGACTCAGCTGTCTGAGTGGAACCCGGGTCTTTCCTGGTGATGAGCTTCAAACAAACATGTAGAAGCATATCACTGCTCCTGTCCTCTGGGAGTTCACTGATACCTCCCTCCACCGTTCAGTTTCTCCGACCACTGTGAGGCTCTTTGACAGCGCTACCAGATTCTAAATCAATATATGATGGACTTATTCCCAATTTTGTTTTCAGCAAACAGCTAAACATAGATTTGCTCATAGTATGTTATATCAATTTACAGATACCTGCAGTAATACCATCAAAACTGAAGTCTAAATCTTTCAATAATTTGTTGTGACAAAACCCAAACCAATGGTTTTCTATGGGCTCAGAACAGTCTCATAATGCACACATGCACACAGAAGGATTCACACTTGTATTTCATGATCCGCAAAAGGATTCACACTTGTATTTCCGGATCCACACTTGTGTTTTTCAATGCACACACAAATGTGTTCCGTTTCATATACATGTAAATAAAATCCAAATACAGAAAAAAGTTTTACATATGTATTTTTGATCCTCACATATTTGTTTTCCGTTTAAAACCGCTGCACCTGCAAACACAAACCGCTTTCTGTGCATGGATCGCTGTGCATTCGTGTGTGTTTTTTTTTAGACTCCCCTGACGGTGACCCGATTCGTACTTGTAATTTTTTCTATCTATAGCCAATCAGATGTCTCCTCAATTCTAAGCCAATCACATGAGCGCGCCCCCGCGAGGGTAGATTTCTTGCGTTCATGACGTAGCGCTTCATGTACGCATTTTGCGCTGTCCGGAGCTGACAGGTCCATGGAGCCTGCCTGCAGGTGCTAATCTCAGGACACGTCCACTCTCAGTACATTGCCACTTTCCGAGCAGGAAATGCACGCAAATACAAGCCTTTATATTATTAAGGTACAGTGCCACTTTCCGAACCATTAATTAATGCTTGTGTACATAAAAACGGCAGGCAAAACCGTTTTAAATGTGTGTTTCCTGTATGTCGAATACAGCTGCTTTATTTATGTCTGTATGAAGTTGTTGTGAGTGTGGAGGGAGCAGCTACAGGTTAGCTTAGCCTAATCGATCAGTGCACTACGAAGCCAGTGCTAGACAGTGAACTGTCAACGGGGGGGAGCCCCGCCGGTCATTATCGGCTGATATTCACTCTTAATAGTTTGATCGGTGCTCTCTATAAAGGCCGATCAGGAGAGCTGGATCTGATCGATATGGACATAAACACGAGTGAAGTTTTAGCGAGCTGCATGAGAAACTGACGGGCTGTCAGGAGAGAGGGAGGGAGAGAGGAAAAGAGATGATCCTTACTCCCGTGTTATTAGCCATATCCGGTCATAGTCCGGTAATTACCTGCTATCGGAAACTCTGCTACACAATTCTTCTTATTATTATTATTATTATTGAAACATGACCGGTAAGTTTCAAATTTGTCCGGTAAAATTAAATTCTGTCCGCGGAAACCCTGCTCCGGACAGCGCAAAATGCGTATATGAAGTGTCATGAACGCAATAAATCATACCCTCGTGGGGACGCGCTCATGTGATTGGCTTAGAATTGAGGAGACATCTGATTGGCTATAGATAGAAAAAATTACAAGTACGAATCGGGTGACCGTCAGGGGAGTCTCAAAAAACCCACACACGAATGCACAGCGATCCATGCACAGAAAGCGGTTTGTGTTTGTAGGTGCAGGGGTTTTAAACGGAAAACAAATATGTGAGGATCAAAAATACATATGTAAAACTTTTTTCTGTATTTGGATTTTATTTACATGTACATGAAACGGAACACATTTGTGTGTGCATTGAAAAACACAAGTGTGGATCCGGAAATACAAGTGTGAATCCTTTTGCGGATCATGAAATACAAGTGTGAATCCTTCTGTGTGCATGTGTGCATTATGAGACTGTTCTGAGCCCATACTTTTCAGAGTCTTCCTTGAACCTTCATTTCCCTCAGAGTTACAGCAGCGGTACAGCACTTAATGGAGTAAAGAGTGGAAGTGGAAGCCGACCTCCGTGTCTTGCTAAAGGACACTTTGGCAGGAGCAATTGCTGCTGATGGAAACGTCTGTCAAAGGCATTAAACCAATTACCTTTTTTTAGTTGGGGAACAGTCTTTCAAGCCTTGGGGCACAAAGCCTTGAGTGCACCCACGATAGCTACAGTACTTCATTATAGCAAGTGTACATTCAACATCTCAAACTCAGCACTGGCCTTCAATGAGGAATAATGTTTATGTTGATCACATAGCAGCTACAGTGGAAGAAGTAATGCACAAATTAAAATTAAGAGGCATATTTCCCTTTCAACAAGTTTTTCTGTGTATTGTATGACCTGCAAAGTCTAGTTTTGGGGGGTAATATTGTTTTTGAATGCTACACAATGTAACAAACAAGCTGTTGTTAATGGAAGTCATAGTTTTTGTGTGAAAAAGGCAAACATCCTTATGATAATTTTCTTGCATCAGACTGTATCCCTCACTCATTCTCACAAACACTCACATTAACAGTTACTCACAGTTGGGAAGAAAACATCTTGCTTTCGACACAAATTAGTGTCATGATCTTGGAAGACAAAGTGAGCTTCTTAGGACATGGTCAAGGACTCTGCAGAAAGACAGTCGCTCACATACTGTTCTTAATATTTAGATAGAGGGCAGCTCGTTGAACCCCTCTCCCTCCTGCTTCAAAAAACTGAATTATTATAATTACGATAAAATGGTATAAAACAAGGATTGACGGGCCAAAAGGAGGTGAATTATTATCCAACAGGAAAAAGTATTTTGGGGTTTTCTAAAAATCTCTTTTTCATCCCTCATTATGTTTTGAAACGTTTATACAGAGGATAAATAAGTACAATCTAATAGATACATTTAAGGATCAACAATATGTGATCCTGTATGAGATGGTAGAAGAGTCTGTCTCGAAGCATATCGTCTTAGCTAAAAATGTCGATCTTTTTTTTTGAAACACACAAAAAGCATTTATACATGCAGGTATTAGTGCATAGGTTCCTGCAGAAAAAAACAGAGTATTATTGAGTAGTCAATTTAATTGTCTCCCTTAACATCACCAGATGAATTTGGCATAGTTATATCAATAAACAAAATGACTTTCCTTTAAATTGAGATATTTTTCACACCCTCCTAGTCCCTTGATTAACTTATCATTTAAATATATCTCTATCTATATACAGTATGTATGAATACAAAATATGACAAATCATAAAATAAATATATTATATTCTATAGCTCCAAGTTACCCGGTAAAGTGTCTTTTAAATTGCAGTAATTTGTTAAGAACTTGTCAAAATGAAAGGATGGAACACAGTGAAGTCTTGAAGACCGAAAGAAAAAAGTGCCACACATGGAGATAGTTTGTGTGCGTTTCAGTTTGGAGGAGCACAGGAGGGTGTGATCAATCCTCACAAATTGGACGGGAGTTTAGAGCGGACAGTTTGAGGTTCTAGATCTGATGAGTAGGCAGCAGAGGCCCTCCGTAGAGGCAAGGCCGGGGACGCCCCAGGGGACAGAGTCTGGTGAGGGTGCCCCGGAGACATCTGGATTGGAGGAGTCATGCGCCCTGGCACTGAGCTACGGGGTTTGGGCACAAGAGTTGGTGAGGAAAAGGGTGAGGGGTAATATCCAGGCTCCACAGAAGTGGGAAGAGTAACATGGCCTAGGGCCTGGGCCACTTCCTGGGGCAGAGACGGGTGCGAACTGTATAAAAGCTTGAGGTCCTCGGAAAAACGTCCCATCGGAGAATCTCTCCCCGTTGCATGAGGCTGGCTTAGAGGCTGTGAAGGGAGGGAAGATTGAGGCATGAGTAGAGAACTGTGGGATCCTGTGGCACTTGAGGGGTCGCTGTAGTGGAAAGTTCTGCCAGCCACTGGGCTTTGAATAGTAGGGCTAGGCGCCACAGGGGTAAGGCAGGGGGAGGCGTTGGCTGAACCATACTGGCAAAGGGAGGCCAGTGCAGACCTCTCAAGGGACAACTGGTGCGGACGTAGGCCAGAATGGAGGCCTGCCAAGCTAAAATGGCCATGGGAAGATGGGGGGCCCTCGACAGGCTGCTGGGTGTACTGTCCTCTGCTTGAGGATGGGGAGCCATGTGTGGGGGAATGGAAGATATTTAAGCCAGGGGTAGTCCTACCTCCCCCTGCAAACTGCTGCAAAGGAGCCACCTGAGGAGGCTTGGGAGGGGGCTGGCTTTGGAGGGGCTGACCAGGCATTGGGCTGGACGAGCCGGTAGATATAGGACTCTGACAACGAGAGGAACCATGAGTCCCTCCTATGGGACAAGATGTAGACCCGCCTATATAGCTCCCAAATGCCCCTCCTGCTGTTTGGCCAATATGTCCTATCATCCCTAACCCGGGTCCACTTAAAACTCCTCCTATATGGCTACTTGTGGCTCCTCCAGAAGACCTTCCCAATGTCCCTACAGGATTCCCAATTGAATCACTTGAAACCACTGCAAGTCCACCCCCAGTATCCCTTACTGTGGATGCCCAAGAAATTGCTCCCATTGATTCACCAGAAGCTCTTCGCAGGGAACCTCCAGTGGTTGCTACTTCCAGTGATTCCCCAGAAGACCCTCCTACTGATCCCCCAGAAGCTCTTACGAGTGATCTCCTTCTATCTCCTATTGTCCCTGCACCCACTGATCCTTGAGGTATCCCTCCAAATGATTCCCCTGAGATCTCTACTACAAATCTGCCAGTAGTTCTCCGCAACCCAAAGTGAGCCCCTGGGAGTGGCCCTGTTGTAAAGTCCTCTCCGGCCCAAGCAGTGTCTCCTCCTGTTGCTCCTTCTACAGAACCACCAACAGCTCCACCTGAAGACCACCCTGTCGCTCCAGCACAGGGTCCAACTGCTCCTCCACTTATTCCTGACCCTGTGCTTCCACCTGTAGATCCTTGGCGGAAGAGGTTTGAGAGTGGTGGGGTGTTGGAGCGAAACGGCTGTTGATGCTGTGGCTGTGGGTGTAGCTGGGCCATACTAGATGAAGGTGAACCAGAGGACAAGTTTGGTCCAAATGGGAAGGCAGAGGCCCCTCCTCTACTGGACCCAGAGCCAGTAACAATAGGTCCATGCTGGTCTCCGCTACCTGAGGCCTGTTGGCTAGAGCCAGTTGCCCCTGTACCTGACATCGGGTGCATGGCCCGAAAAGAGGCCAGCAATGGCATGTCCGACCCAGAGTGCAGTTTAGAGGGTGTGCTACAAGGAGAGTCCCCAGCAGACCCAGGTGCTGTGGATGGAGGAACAAAAGTTGGAAACTTCTTAAACCGGGTTGGAGGATCCTTTAAGGACCCCAGAAGAGAAACCGGAGGCCTGAAAAAAGTTTGTGGGAGGTTGGGATGGTGAGTAAGGGCAATGGCTACTGAGGTGGTGGCGGCTGCTGCCTGGAGAGGGGCCTGGATGAGGGGGGCCCAGATGACCGGGGTCGGTGAAGGAGGCTGGGGTGGGACGTTCTGGAAGAAGTGGGCACAGTGGGCCATGTCCCTGTCATGCTGCACTATCTGCTGGATGATCTCAGTCTCCTGGTAGTTGAGTTCACCAGAATTGAGGTCGTGTTGCACCTTGTGCTGCAGGATGGAGTTTTTCTTGCCTGTAAAAGCAAACACAAAATGTTTTATTTGAAACCAGGTTGACGTTTGGGTGTATTAGAGTAACCACTCCAACAATATTTCACAATAGAAGAATCTAGAAAATGAAAAGCCATGAAAGTATAAATAAAAAAGTTACCTGAAAATCACAAGTTGGAAAAAGGAAGGAATGATAGAGAAATTATAAGAGATAAGAGAAAATGAAAACTACCCGGAGACAGAATCTCAGAATGACAGCAGAAGGTGTAGGCGTTGAATGTTTGACTAGTTATTGCTAGGATTCTTTAGGTAACATGAAAGATGCAGGTTCAACCGGTAATAGAGTGTGAACTTCACTGTGATAATGGCTCAACAAATATATCGTTGCTGTCTTATTTATTTCCTGATATTGGAAGGTAATATCAACGGGGCGCATCTTAAGAATCAGGGATACATTTGAAATCTTATTTTTCTGAAAAAGCTGTCGTGGGATTAGCATACCTCATAACACCTTAAGTACTCGTATTCTCAGAAGTCCTTGTGAGCTGAGCACAAGGTCAAACAGACAAGAGATGCGTCACTACGACAGGCAACTAACTGCTGACCCAAACTCCTAGAGAAATGTGTGCAACTCTGACCGCAGAAGTCCATTAGTCATTTTTGAATGGTCACACAAGCGTTGACAGGGTTAATTCACATGACTGCAATTTTCAATTTGGTGCTAACAAAAGGCTCTGAAAACCGAGGATACTGTAAATGCAATTAGGCCCGGATCAATCTCTCCATTTTCTGAAATCACTGGTGGAAGATTAGTGGAGATGTTGCATGGAGGTATTGTATCTCCTTTCAGCTTGACCCTGGCACTACCTAACCCTTTATCATCTGCACACCTCCAATCAGATTGTGCAAAGTCCATCAAGACGGTAATTAATTTGTGGATCATTGCTGTGTGGGTGACTTAATTATGGAAGAAGGGTGTACATAAGCATCAAGGCCAGGAGAAAGGACGTTTGCGGAGACTATCCCACAGAAACATCACTATCAGCCCACCACATCTCTCAAAAGCGGCCATTTTCTACAAAGAGACCCCCTAAAGCAGTTTCTCTATCTTCCATTCTAAACATAGCTGAGGATAAAACAGAGCATGCTGCGAGGGCTGAGTGATGATACAGGCGTGCCTTTCATTGTGAATTTTTCATCTACTCGGGCTGAGCCTGGGAACAGCAATGGATATGGAAAGAATATCAATTGTATGCGTGAGAGAAGTCATGCAGGGATTTCAAAACCAGAGCTCTATCTGCATGTTTATATGCAGATGACTTTGAAAGTAATTTCAGTCGTGAGTATCAGTGTTGACAGTTTTTAGAGCCCTAAAGTTTCGGATGTAAATTGAAATCTTTGTCTTGTTCATATCAGTGTCAGTGAGTTAATATATATAATAAAACAGAGATACATCACGCCTGCTAACATAGGGAAGACCACTCATTGATATGCTGAATGGCTTAAAGAGGATTAATTGAAAGCTTTAATTGCAAATATAAAATATTTTACATAGATATTCAAGGTTGCTAATTTCTGACACATACTGATGCTTTTTTATTTAAAAAATACGATTTGTAGCATCTTTTGTAAAGTTCAAACAAATATTCAAGACTTCCCTCTGAAGTTGTCGTTTAGATTTAATTGTCTTACCAATACGGTCCAGCCTGTCCACGGCAACCGTCTCAAAGGCCCTTCTCATCATGGGATACTCCTCCAGCACCTCGTTGAAGTTGTCCACAGACAGCGAGTACAGGCGACAGTAGGTGTCCGCTCGGACACTGGCTGTCCTTCTGCCCAGCGTCAGCAAACAAATCTCTGCAATAAATAAACAGCAAACAAAGATTGTAATGTAGTGAAGTTAAACCCAGAGGCTGACCTGTTTTTATGCTGAGGGACAAAGTAAAACACTTTTTAAGCAAAACATGAACTCAAGAGTTGGCTTGTTTACATTGTTAAGCATTATAACATTTCTGTAATCCATTGATGAGACACTTAATACTATTTTCAGAGCTTAGAGGTCTGCCAGCCCTCATCTGCCATGCCCACTCAGGAAAATAATGCTCCATTAAACAAGCTGCACTGCCGTAGAGCTCTGGCACAGAGACAGTGTGTGTCTGTGCAAGTGTGTGTGTACTGTATGCAGATATCCCATGTACATGCATTCAAGTTGGTGGCGTCAATGTTGGTGCCAGTGTTTGCGTGTGTGCAACATGTACACAAATGAATGCATGCCAGTGTTTCATTCGTAAGTGCAAGGCAGTATGGGATAATATAGTGACCATTAAGTCTATCTCATTTAAACGTTATATACAAAATGTTTTATATATTTATATACATTTATTATATGCTTATATTGTAGGTGTGTATTTATATGTTTGTTGAATTTGACTTAAATATGTGTGCCATGCGTATGTACACACATTCCCTAATGTCTATTCTCTTTAGCTTTCATCCCATCTTCTACCCTCCCTTCCTGTGTTTACTGTCACACTCCCTCTTTCTGAGAAAAACCCATTTCCAGGTCATCTACGCACACACATGCTCTCCATTCCCCCGCAGAATGCATTTTGCTCCTCGCCCCCTTGAAGCCTACATCAAATCAAATTTGTAAAGAATTTTTCATCCAACATATCTCCAGAAATCTCATGCATAGTTTGACTCTCTGAACATAACAACTCCATTGTCCCATTTCCCCTTTTGCACAAAAAATGCTAGTGTTTTGGGTTTGTATTTACATGTGCCTGACCTGCAGCCACAGCAAGAGGCTCCTCACACAGTATGGGGCAATGTCGGCTTTAATCAAAAACATGACTAACCCAATTTTTGGGGGGGAAATGTTTTTATATGTGGGCATGATGACATTGAGCTGTGTGTGGGTGCGTGATAAAACATGATGCTGTCACTGAGCCTGGGTGTGTTGGGGGCTAGTAGCAATCAGGACCAATCAGGACAGCTCTTCTCTAAGCAGTGCTCTTATCAAGACATTAACAAAACCTACACATTAATGTGGACTGCTATAAACACCGCTGTTGTTTTCTGATGATACACTCAACCTATATGCATGACATTCATAAAGAAGGCAAAGGTTATGGAAACAGTCTTGGTTAAATATAATACAACTTGACAATGACCTAATACATGACGTAGGACATGATTTTGTTCCAAAACATCATGTTTTTCATCAGTCATAGCTTAACATCTTACACAACAGTTTGTGTAACAGCCTGCTAATGTTTGTGCAAAATGTATCCATGTGGTCTTTTGCAGTTTGACAAAGCACAGCAGTCGCGTTAGGAACTGCAGATGAAAACTTTCTATAAAGGATATCTGTATCAGGCAGCTGCATAAGGAGATAATTAACTGAGAGGGAAAGCCTTTCAGTTAATTAGCCACAGCATGCTAGCTGTTGTCGGTGACAGATGCTGTTAAGCACTAGATATTTAAGTGTCACCCCTTAACCCAGCATCTCTGAAAGATTCTGCAAATCTGTGAAATGTGTACAGGTAGGAGAAAGATAAAAGTAAGACATGGGGAAAAGTGTGATCTTTAATGGAAGCCAGCTGCAGTGCACGGTTCACCTACTGTGAGAGGGTGGATTGCACAAAATGCTGTCGATGTTGACTCTAAAATTGCACTGTGCTGCTCGATTGCCATTGACACTCCCCCTACTGCACTTCTCCTCCCACTGGCAAGGGAGTAGGGACCATAAAATGCTACATAGAAGGAAAAAACCCGCAGCGCCATGAAATGCCACCTCTACGCTCACACATGGACCTCATGTAGTGACATGTCTGGGAATAAAGACAGAAATTGAACCTCGTGTTACAAGAAGTGTGAAAGAGCGATATGTTAGAACTTATCCTCTGTGAACAAAAATATAAACACCTGTACTACACTGAAGACAAATGGCTTTATCACATTGAGAGATGTTCTCGCAGTCCTCTGATATATATAAATAGTGCAGACAAGTGTCACAATATTTGTATTGTACGGCTCTTGTTTATTTCCATACACTGATAAAAAATACTCCTGCTTGATCTACTTAAAAACGTTATGCACCAGAACATTATGTGTAGATCATCTTTCTAAAAACTTCCCAATTTCTTCCTGAAAATAAATGTTCAACTACACATTTTGCATCTTTTCTCTGACAAGATGAAGATCAAGCAGCACTCTTTCATCAGTGAATGAAAAGAAAACAACAAACCTGGAAATACAACAAAGAAATCCCTGATATGACTTGCATTTTGAGTGCAGTGTAAACGTCGATGTACTGCAAAAGCACCTCTCAATAAAAAACACCATTACCAGTGGTATCACAAATTACATTAGAGCTGAGTAAACACAAATCAGTGTCAACACTATATGGTTCACTTATAGTACATATAATTCACTGCACATAGCTTGTAATGGATTACATTCAATTGTACAGGACATTTTTCTATTCACTGACTCACAAGTGGTTATCAGTGTGTGTGTGATGGTTTGAAAAATGAGATAGGGCAACCACTAAAGGAAAATGCATGAATTGACTTGACAGAGAATGAGCAATATGTACTCTTAAGGAAGCAGAAAAACATATGCAGTGTGTTAATGTTTGCGTGTATGCATTTTAGAGAGAGCAGGGGTGAATGCACAATGTACTGTACATATAAAGTTATGTGCAATGGGTTGGAGTGTGTATAATGTGACAGAGAGAGCATGGGTGAATGGGCAATGGCCAAGAGAGCTGTGTGAATGGAAAAGAGCAAAAAATACCATGCTCTGCAGTGTGTGTGCATGTGTGTGTGTGTGTGTGTGTGCGTGTGTGTGTGTGTGTGTGTGTGTGTGTGTGTGTGTGTGTGTGTGTGTGTGTGTGTGTGTGTGTGTGTGCGTGTGTGTGTGTGCGTGTGTGTGTGTGTGTGTGTGTGTGTGTGTGTGTGTGTGTGTGTGTGTGTGTGTGTGTGTGTGTGTGTGTGTGTGTACTGTAAGTAAGTGCAAGTGGGGCAGCCTTGGATGGAGCAGTGCTGGGGGTCCATTTCCCCCAGCACTGCTCTGATAATCCCCTCTGGAGAGGAGCATCGCAGCTCTGTATTAAATCCTCTTGTCCTGTGGCTTTCTGGATGAAGCCCACACTGCCAAGATGAGGCCGTGAGCCCTCTGGCCTCTGGCCTCCTCTAACTGTCCAACAGAAAGCAAGAGAAGCCATCAGAAACAAAAGCGATGAGAGAAAAATCCACGGCAGGGCCCGCGTCTGGAGCAGTAGATTAGGAGCTATGTTAAAAAAAGAAACGTAAAAAACCAACCTAGATATTTAACTCCTTATCCACGAAAAAGAGTGCTTTGTTCCTCTGATGCTGGTGTTTTGAGGTTTCCTAGAGAAACTGCTTTTAGCTACTACGCTCCGAGACTCCTGCCAGACTACATTAGATATGCAAGCTCTGCTGACACGTTTAAAATAGACCTTTTTAAAGTCTTTTTTTAACTGTCATTTTTACTTTATGATATATTTTATTCTTTTTTAGTATTATTCATAAAAATAAACACAATGTTGCAGGAAATGCATTAAAGATCCGGCATACTATGTTTCTACACCCACACAGTTGATTTCAGCTTTTCATTTATCTCCGTTTTTATTCTCTCAAGAACATTCCTTTATTGTGTTGGTATAAAACCATAAAACCATTACTTTTTTTATTGAATCTAAAAGTCATCTGGTACAACAAATACATAACCTATTGTTGGAATATAATATTTTTACGACAGTTGGGTTGACATAGCCTCAAGGTCAGCCAATCCTGCACAGTTCAACTCTAGACAGCTTTTGCAGATGGTTTTAGAGTTACATTCAATTTATTTATGAATGCTTTACTCCTACAGCTTGCTCACATCTCCTGTGACTCATAGCAATTCTTCCCAAATCTTGTACGAAATTATACCGAAGGACAGGCTTAGTTGGTGTCGCTCTGCCTGTCTTGTGTAAGGGGCGTTTGTATTTTTTCTAAGACTGCCGTTTTTAGAATAACACATTTTTGTGTGGATCTCAACAACAATATGATGATTCATAGTCTGCCTGAAATTGTGGGCTTATGCAGCTCAAATTAGAAAATATAACACAGACACAAGAAAACTGAGAATTCAATCTCATTTTCCATTCTAAAGGAGAACTATGGAGGACAATAATGAGTAAAAAAGTACAGACAAAATATGCTATTCTGAACTTTAAAGGTCTCCATGAAAAATCTTCCGTCCTCCCCATGATGTCCTCGTCTGCTTTGACTTCATCCGGCCTAGTTATGATTGTTCCCAAAACTGTGACTGGCTGATTAGCGCTGATGCTAACACTAATACACACACACATACAGTATGGGGCGAAGCCTGCGAGCTAGTTCAGGCAGTCAACTCGAGCGCCAATGATACATTATCACATGACGGGTCTCTCTTACAACCAACCAAACACAATCTCCTGAACTTGCCGCTCTATTTAAGCTGCCAGATCTTCCTGCCTCTGCCTCGCTATGCTGCTGGTCTGTCACATTGCTGATGCGTTCACTTGCTGCTGCTTGCCTGCCCCACCACCACCCCAGCTTCCACCTGTAGGCTTGGGGGATAGTTACAGTATCTAATCATCACTCAATGTTCTTTGTAAATCTGTGGAGTGATGAGGCCCGAGCCTAGATGCCAAACTCAAACTATATGCTGCTTCTAATAAACATATAAAGAAACACGTGAGTTGTCTGACTGAAATGTCTTAGTTTCCAGAAAAACTACATCTGTGCACTAAAGGGAAGTTACTCTGCCACAGTCATCATGATTTCTACACTTAAGTGACAATG